CTATAAGAATAATATATGGACAGCAATAGGACAAGCTCTAATACAGATTATATATTTTTCTGCCACAGTAAAGATAAACGAATATATAACAATTAAAAATTATCTAACAACAACAACAACAACATACATGTATTTATTTAGGATTTATCAACATTCATTACAATAATACCGTGAAGAATGAAAAGTTCTGTGCGTGGAACTTTCCCTATTTGCAAATTACACGCAATTAACGTGCATAAACTGTGTTTCAAATTTATTAAGGTAGAGATGCAGTTTATTTGGCTTGCATTTTAATTAAGTAATTAGACAATGGAGATGGTATTATATATCCAACATGTTATATATTTTCTAATAGCTTATTATACAAACTTTGTAAAACTTGTCTTTATTTTAAATATCCAGAATGCGTTTTTGATTTTGGGTCAAAAATATGCTTTTTTGGACAAAAGTGGTTTTAAAAAAATTAGCTTAAAAACTTCAAGTCCGTTTGTGGGTAAAATTACATCACTGAATACCTTGGTATACTACTAATTCAAATGCGTCCACTCATCTCTCTAACGGCTTTCAAAGTCACACAAGTATGACCTCAAAGTTCACTCTTTTCTATTTTTGCATAATTTATATATCCATGTTAATTGCGGACTTGTTATTTTTGTTCCACGCGCCGTAGTAAACTGTCCGGACGCATTTTGAAGGGGGAACACCTTGTCAATAATGTGTGAAAATTTCGAGGCAAATGGCCAAAGCGTCTATCAGCTATTTTAATTTAAAACCCAAGAATTCACCAAAAATAGAAGAGGCTAATTTGCATACTTGTGCGTTAAACCGGGAATTACTGCTTTGTCATACTTTCTAGACTATTGAAATTGAAAGTTAACGTATAGACATAGACATTTTATGTAAAATCGTTGGACCAGAACAACTGCTCTTGAATATATAAATCAGAAACACGTCATTCATACCAGTGTTTTGATGGGGTCGGTAAAAACACGTGTCAATGCCCAGTAAATATGACGTAAATATTAAACAGGGGGCGGTCCTAGGAAGGTGACCTTTTATCACGATCAAAACATCATGGCTTCTCTTTGATGTATTTCCAATAAAAAAAATTACGAGTATTTCAGAGCCTATGGTTTATCGTGAAGAGTACAAAGTGGGATATTAAATTATGCATAACAATACTGACAATGAACGTGCATTCAACGCCACAAGTTTTTTGTTTTTTTAGCCAATCAGAATTCATCTTCCGAGCCAGTGCAGATCAGCCGAAGTTTTGTTCAGCGTTTCCAATCCCATTTTTCCCATTGCAACATATTTGTTAAAAGAAATATTTGAATTCTGTTCGTTTTTTAAGGAGGCAATTTTTTATTTTTTCCGATTTTGGTAACGCCTTATTCAGGGATTTTCTAAGACAGTCGCAGACAATGTACGTACAAAACATGCTGTTGTACTACCGGCGACGGTCGCCTGCAAGAAGAGAGCTCCAGCTTCTAACGTAAAAGTTTTTAACATTTCGACCGGTTTTAAATAATTAGTGTTGGAAATCTGACATGTTTTAGGAGTGCAAAATTAAGGTTCATTTTCGAGCGGTCGAATTTTTCTGAATAGAAATCAGCAAATGAAAAAAATAGGTGTGCTAAACCATAGACCCTCCAGTCTACTGGAGGGTCTATGGCTAAACAGTGTTTAAAAAAATGGAATGTCCGTCAAATTGACGTAAACTTCCCCATTTTTCACGGAAAAAGCAAAGGTCGTGGCCGAGTTGCAGGCTAAAACACTCAAAAATCAAAACAAAATCATCAATCAGTAAGTATTATGACAAGGAAAACAAAACATCAGACGCGGAGAAGCGGTCAGCGCGTCAAAAGAGTTGTTAATGTATCAAGTTACCTCTCTCTGATTTATTTTTCATTGAAATTATTTGCTTGTTTTCAATTAATTTTAGCGTACCTGTGTAATTTATTTTAGCATTGTCAGTTATTTGCTTCATTGAATTTAACTGAGT